TTGGTGCGCTAGTAAAGGCCGATGCACCACACATCATTGTGACGCATTGTATTCTGCACAGGCATGCGTTGGCAACAAAAACCTTACCTCCAAAAATGGCAGAAGTATTAAAAACTGTGGTGGAATGTGTGAACTATGTGCGAAAAAGTGCTCTGAGGCACCGCATCTTCAGTGAGCTGTGTAAAGAAATGGGCTCTGAATTTGAGGTACTTCTGCTCCATTCTAATATTCGGTGGTTATCCCGGGGACAGGTGCTGAATCGTGTTTTTGCCATGCGTGTGGAATTAGCCCTGTTTTTGCAAGAGCACCAACACTGCCATGCAGATTGCTTCAAAAATCCTGAGTTCATTCTCATTTTAGCGTACATGGCTGATATATTCGCAGCTCTCAATCATCTCAATCAGCAGATGCAGGGTGGTGGAGTCAATATCATGGAAGCGGAAGAACACCTGAAGGCTTTTCAAAAAAAGCTACCGTTATGGAAACGACGAACAGAGAACAATAACTTCGCAAACTTCCCGCTTCTGGACGACTGTGCAAGTAAGATCGAAGATGTGTCTGGAATCGGAGATATTTCTGTATCCACGGAACTAAAGCAAACAATTGCTACGCACTTAGATGAGCTTGCAAAGTCTCTCGACGGATATTTCCCTACAAGAGAGTCATATCCAGCATGGGTGAGACAGCTGTTCACGTTTGCTGTTGAAACAGATGTCAATGATGAATTCCTCGACGAAATCATTGAAATTCAGCAGAGCCAGGTTCAACAGCAACTCTTCAGAACAACAACGCTCTCAAAGTTTTGGTGTCGACAAATGCACAAGTATCCAGTTATTGCTAAGAAAGCCCTGGATTTTTTTATACCATTTGTTACAACATATCTTTGTGAGCAATCCTTTTCGAGGATGCTGGACATAAAAACGAAGAAAAGGAACAGACTTTGCTGTGAAAATGACATGAGAGTGGCACTTGCCAAGGTGAAGCCACGCATATCTGAACTGATCTCTCAAAGGCAACAGCAGAAGTCACATTGATTTCCAGGTATGTAATTTGTTGTGAGTTTATGCATTGTGTTGGTTTTATTCTTTGAACAAGGTAATGCTCATGCACGGCTCATTTTGTGTACCAGTAAAAAACATATCTATGTCTTGAATTTGAAAAAAAATCACATTTTATTTTTCACTAAAGAGGGGTTCGGTGAATGCGCATATGAAACTGGTGGGGTTCGGTACCTCCAACAAGGTTAAGAACCACTGCGTTAATGCATCCCCGCATTTCGTGACAGTCTTGTTCCGTTTTAACGTTCGACTCTTCCAAATATTCGCGTCTGTATTTGCCACTGCCTCCGAATGGTTATGGTTAAGAGGGGGTATGATGCTGCGTTGCGTGACATTGGGCCAAAGTTGAACTGCTATGCGAGTACGTCTTATGAAAAGGAACTCTGTTGTATGAGCTACCATATTTTGCAATGAGTATAAACCAAGTTTACCGCTATCCCTGAAAGAATCGCACAGTTTATCCATTTCTCAATTTTCCTGCAACAACTGTGCCATTGGCATCACGTCACGAGATGAAGACTCCATTTGGAAATCTCAGAGGGCTGTGCAACCCCTCGTATGTTGGAGAATGGTCCATGGAAGCGAATTTTCATGGCACTTATTTTCAGATCCATTCGAGTCACCTTTTATCCACATACTAGGGGCCATACATTTACTAAGTGCCCCATTGTGATGGAAATGTTTGATGCGTGATATTCAAACCAATATGTTTACATTCTCAGAGCTGGAATTTAGCCAAATTAAATGAAACACCAAAAGCAACGTGGTGTGCATTTTTGCGTATGACATTCTTGAATACTCACGTGACGTTCATAAGTAATAATGGCACAGTCAATATAAACATTGCATACCTCCAAATAAAGCACCAATAGAGATCAACAGTATCAGATGCCCCAGCCAAATAAACCAGCACTGAGCCACTTACCCTCGAGGGCCGTCTGATCATTTATGCGTGTTTGTTGCGGTTACACCCGACTTAAGAGCCGCATGGCTCACAGAGCTATACCTAATAAATGAAACTTGAAACCAAACCGAGTTGCCAATGGTAAAGTGGACTTTAAAGATCAGAAGACACGAATAATCGCTCACAAAATAAAGCAATTGCGTCATTCTAACAGGCCACAGGCTTTACTTGTCAAATCGCAACTGAAATAGTATTAAAATACTGCCACAATGATAAATAATATTGTAACTGTCAAAAAAAATTGTGGAGAGGGGCAGTGGCGCGGTGGGTAGCGCACTGCGCAATGTACCCGCCTACATTGGTTAAACTCCTGGCCGAGGCTAATGTCAGTGGCGAGTGATATCTGAACCAGTCCTGCCACCCCCCCCCCCCCCCCCCCCCCCCTTATTCGCCAACCCTCAATGACCAATGTGGTGAAGTACGGTCAAACAAAACCATGACCAACGCGGCACGAGGAGGCCTTCGTCCAGCAATGGATTGAGAATGGGCTGTAAATTAATATAGAGTAATTACGAATCATTACAACATGACTATCGCTATGTGTGGCCAATTTAATAGCACACTCGGCCGATGGAGCTCAAGGAGTCGAAACCGGTCAAATAGTCTGCCTGCTCGAATAAATGCCACAGAAACTCCTTTTCTCGAGAGAGTCCAGAGAACAAATGTAAGTTATTTTGTAAACTTGATGACACGGACCCTTGTCTGATTATAATTATTGATCATCTGCGTTGCGAAAAGACTCACTCGCAAAAAAGGGACACTTCGCGTTAAAGTGGTCAAACGAAATGAAAAACATTCCTTTGATCAGACAATGAATATCAAAGAGTCAAATAAACACACCGGGACAATGAATCTCAAATGCTTTGTCTTGGCAATCCAGATAATGAATGTCAAATGTCATTAGACCTCCTTTGCCAGTACCAAATATAATAATAGGGTTTCCTCCCTTTTTTCTGGCAACAAAACTGAAACCTTTTTACAAGGATTCACGTCTGGTCGAGCACCAATGGGTCGAGGCTCAAAAGAAAGCCGTCCCTTGGTGTGGACCAATCAGTTTCAAGGACAATGCATATATTATCATAGTATGTTTTTCGTTTGCATTTTGACTGCAGGTATTGTGGTTAATGCAGACATGAATCCTTGTAAAAAGGTTTCAGTTTTGTTGCCAGAAAAAAGGGGAAAAACCCTGTTATTATTGAATGTCAAATGGTTAAGTAAAGAACGTGAAAGAAAACACTCAAAGTGTATCCCTGCCCAAGTGAGCGTGGGCCGATGCTTATCCAATGTTTATGAGCACAGAGCCAGTGGACGGCAATTCCACATTCTTATGGCGGGAGTAAGCCACTCCATAAGACAACCACTGTTTCACTTCGCACAAAGTTGCACTTGGTCAATCAACCCTAACGAAACATTCATATTCGTTTATGACAGTCAGTGACACAGAGCGTATGAATGTTGAACATCTATCGCACCCTACGTAGCCAACCGTGATAATCGGATGTGCGGGGGAAGGACAACAAACTAAACACAAAAAGCAGTTTTAAAAACGAGTCTTCAATCTTTATTTAAAAGTGCATAGCTCCAATGGCTTCCTAATCCGTAGGTACACGTCTACAAGATGACATTCGTTTGTGTACATTTTTAGGTGTCATCTTTCGTGAGTGACAATTTGCAGCTGAAAAAAAGAAATCAACTGACGTATTTGCCCACGTGACAACTGGATTTGTTTGGCCGTCGGCTGGTGGAGGGTTGTTGTAAAACAATTACATTTTAGCTGCACGATCTCGCCCAAGATAAAGCAATTATTAATCGTATTGGTCGAGAAAGTCTATGGATTAACATCACTTGCAATTTAATTCGTTTAAATTTACAAGTTTCGCGTAGGCCCTTTGCCACTGTAAGACTTGCAGCGCTGACAGCCAACGGGTTATGGTAACAATAGGTCTAGACCTTGCGTCGGCCACTTTGAACATTAAAACAAAGACCCTCATCACTGTAAATAACAAAGATCCCCCTTAGAGACATGCAGCCTGTTGGGACAAGTGCAGTCAGCGAGCTCCTTTGAAGGCTGACCCGAGGCATGATGAACGGGTGTGGCTCGCAACACACCCGGCAAACTAATTTCACACGCTGCACCAGGTACTCATGTTTAAGGCTGAGGTGACCTAGGGAAGACCCAGGACCGTTACAGATATTCCTCACTGATATTTGCTGTGAGCGGGAATCAAATTTGAGTGGCCGGTTTCGAAGCGCAGAGGGCCAAACCGCTGCACGACCCGCTCTCCGCCGTATACAAAGACAAAGATCCCCTGTATAGCCTTCAACAGTTTGTTGGGGACAAGTGCTGTAGCGAGGGGGTAGGTGGTCAGCACCATGCCCAGCCACCTATCTCCCCAATGCTGATGTTTACAAAGCGCACCAGGTACTCTCATTTAAGGTCGAGTCTACCTAGGGGAAGCCCGAGATCGGTTAAAGTATTCGCCAGTTATGGGTTATCCTGCAGCGCTATCCAGCACAGCAGTGTCCCACAAAGACAATGATCCGTCCGTATAGGGGCAAGCGCTGTTAGCAAGCAGCACCTATGAATGCCGGCACGGCATACGAGGGGGTGGGTGGCCAGCACCACGCCCCGCCGTCTTTCCCTCCCTATGGCGATGTGTACGCACAGCACCAGGTACTCATTTTGAGGCTGAGTCGACCTAGGGGAGGCCCTGGACCGATTCAAATATTCGCCAGAGTTATTGGTCGTGAGCCGGAATCGAACTCGGGTCGCTAACCAACTGCACCACACCCCCCCTCGCCCCCCAAACACGCACATCACGGTGCAGCCCTTTCAAGCACAGTCGTGTCACGCACAAGGACAACGATCCCCCCCCCCCCCCCCATATCGACTTTAACAGGCTCTTGGAGCAAGTGCTATTAGGGAGCACCATGTGTCTCAAACACATAGGATAGAGGAGTTGTAAGTCAGTGCTCACCTGTGTAGCGTGTACGATCCATTGCGCTTGAGACGCATGCTGGCCCAAATGGCCCGCAGGAGGCGTTTGGGGCACACGTTTGCAGATGGATGGGCGACCGAGGCACAGAATAGCACGTCCACGCTGACTGCCACCGCCAATCGGAGAGGTGGCGCACAGAGTCGACTGGCTGAGGGTTAGCTGACCAGATGGCTGGTCACCCGTTTGGTTAGCTGGCTGTGCTGGCTGGAATTCCGGTGGGCTGGTCAGATTTGGCTGGTTATCTGTATAATTCGCTGTCTGGCTGAATAGCTGGATAATAAGCTGGATGTCTGGATGTATGCTCGGCTAACTGCCCGCCTGGCTGTTAAAATAGCTAATTAGCTGGGTGATTAATTGTAATGGCTGTGGCTGACTGTTTAAGTAACTGGCTGATTGGCTGGCTGTGTGGCTGGCTGGTCAACTAAGAGGCTTTCTGGCTGGCTGGCTCAGTTGTGGAGAGATGTGCTGCCAAGACGATTTTATCCAAAGAGATATGTCTGGGCAAGCGTGGATTTCTTCACAAAGCCGACACTCCTTTCAAATCAATTATTCGTTCATTATCCGTTTTTTTACGTGGTTTATGTTCGGAGTTCAGCTCAATTGATGAAGATTTAGCAGTTTATGGTACTGTTATGTAATCTATATTTATTTATTCGACTTTGATTTGTCATTGCTTAGATATTTTTCGCCTCTGTTTATGTTCGCTGAAAGCGTATTTGTACAGGGCTTTGCAATAAAATGTCACGAAATTTTCTGCTAAATTTATTCAATCTATTGGTTTAAATATTTTGCACAAATGGATATATATTCCCAAATCATTAATGTATTCTTCTCATTGAATTTAAATGTGGATTATTTTTACATATATGTATTATCTGTATTACTTATAAATTATTGTTAACACTTGTTATTGTTAAAGAAAAAAGATAAGCAATCACTGGATAAAATTACAATACAAATTTTGTACAAAAACTATTCTTAACGTGCTGATCATTATTAATAACAAATATTACTCTGCGATGCTTGAGAAAAGTATTGCTTTAATTCGTACTTAAAGACCGTACTGTACCCGCTTGCAACGCGCAACGTTTTTTTAAAATATAAACATTTAGAAAAATGCCATCTGCACCACGAACCGCAGCAAAGCGGCGCACCAATGCCTCTCTCCCTCCCTTCCCCTCGCTCGCTCTCTCCCCTTCCTCTCCCCGCGTCTCACTCGCTGGCGATTTCAGAGCCACACAAATTCGACGCAAAAAAAGACTAAGGCTGCACATTTGGCGTATGCTGTCACCTCCGCTGCTGCTCCTCCCTTGTACCGCTGCTGCCGCCGCTGCTGCTGATGCTGCTGCCGATGCCACTCCTTCGTGTGTTCTCAAGAAAGTTCACCCCGAAGGAGTCACAGTGAGCCAGCGCGCGCGGGTGATTGCTGCGTCTCGGATCTTTGAAAGGCCGGACGTGAGTGTGAGTGAACGTGTGTGTGCAGAGAAGGCGGCTGTGGAGGGCAGCAGCTGGGAGGGAAGGGGGGCGGGAGGGAGGGAGAGAGGCAGGCACGAGGGGAGGAGGAGGAGGGGGGTGATGCCGGATTGCCGTGCCTCGTCCGAGACGCACGCAGGAAGCGACCCTGGTCTCCGGGACATTTTCGCAGGAAACTGAGCATGGCTGAGCCAACAAAGTCCAGCCTCTCTCCCTCCCTTCTCCCTCGCTCCAATCCGCACCCCTGCTTCAAAAACAGCCCCTGCTGCTTCTGTCGCATGCTGGCACATCCATAATATACATCTGCGTGTGTGTCTGTGTTTTTGTGCGTGGGAGCGGTAGTGCAACGGTTAGCGCGCTGCGCTACGAACCTGGCGACCCGAGTTCGATTACCCGCTCAATACCAACAATGACGAATATCTGAATCGGTCCTGGGCCTCTCCTAGGTCAACTCAGCCTCAAATGATTACTTGGTGCGATGTGTAAACATCGCCACTTCGGGCGTGGTGCTAGCCCCCCACCCCTCGTGTGTCGTGCTGGCCTTCAAAGATGCTCAAAATAACAATATTTGCCCCCCACAGTCATTTGCTCTAACGGGGGATCTTTGTATTTGCGAAAGCTGGTGGTGTTGTGGTTTGAGTGAACGAATCACAAGTGGATGGTTTGCGAGTTAAAATCGTGGATTAAAGTTGGGGTTGACTCGGATCATCATGTCTTCGAGGTTGTTAAAATAAGTTTAACCTTAAATTTTGATTTAAAGCTTTCGTGACTGCAGTAATTCATATTCTTAGTTTTTTCGGTAAAGTCACGTTATTTTGTTGTTTCTCTTCAACGTGACTTTACCGAAAAAACTAAGAATAAGTTTAACCTTGTGGAAAGCCGATAATGGTTGTCCTATGGTTAGATTAGCATCCGCCGTGAGAATGAAAAATGTCCACCTTTAGCCGATGTAGACGACTCAATGCTCGTTTGAACAGGGATAAACTCTGGGCCCAATTCCTGCAGCATTTTTTTTTAAATATCTGTCATTCTGCCAGCTTTTTTGGGCGGAATAGTTTTCATATCAAATGGGGGGGAACTTTCCACGTTTGGGAATTCATGGGTGGCTGATTCCACGTACAAAAAAAATGACACACCTATTATGTCACTACGCTTGTCACGAGGTGTGGTGGCATGACCAACAATTGGGCAGGATTAGAGTGTTTGCCATCGTGCTGAATTGTTGTCAATCACCATAACGGCATGTGACTTGCGCATGGGGGAGTACGAAGTGGGTGTGTCGATCCATTCCACCCAGAGTCATGCAGGTCGGAAATCCACATTGCAGTTCTTCAGAACTGGTGGTTTCCCAATAATGAGAGCTTTTGTACATGCAGTGCACCCATTTGTGTGTTGTTATGTGAACCTCCATTCGATGCAACAAATAATGTCTCCAACAAGTAGCGTCTGCACTTTGCAGCGAGTGGCACAATGGAGGCACACGCACACATGAAGATGGCGAAGATGATGATGAAGACGAAGAATATGCACACGAGGACAACGTGCAGGACGAGAATGTTTAATGATTATGGTGAAGCCTGTGATGATGATTGTGGTAATGATGATGGTGCCAACTATATTCATGCCATTGTTTATGATGATGAGGGCGATGGTGATGTTTTTCTGTTACTGCAGCTACTGCCTCTGACGTTGTGTTTGCTATTGATGATACTGTACCAGTAAGAGGTAAGTGCCTCTAACATCAGTGACAGCTGCTCTGATCCCTTTAAACGGATGCCTGATGCGGGATGCGCTTGTCCTTTTCACCGATTTATTCGTATTTAAGGTAACATTAAAACACGTAACAGGCGGACCATCTCTAGAAGGCTACCGTCTCCCAATCAATAGCAATGTTCCAGAGACCATAAACCTTGAGAACATTGCCAATACTCGAACGGTTGATCTCATATTATTGGAGGCTCCGATCAAATTCCTCCAAACCCACCACAAGCACTTTCCACCGAAAACGATCGTCCAGCATCTGCCCACCCTTTATGTGTCCTTCCGTGGTAGACCAGCGCACTTATTATCCCAATTCAAGATATCTCGTGGTCATCGTCAAGAGAAGCCTCACATAAAACAGGTCTGTGAAAAGACAAAATGAAGAGTCGCCCTGCTGCAGCAGAATTTTCCAAGGACCACCTGGGTCACGTCAGTCTGATGGTCTGAGAACTGCCACCCAATCGCTGATCTACTCAGTTGCAAGAGTCACTGCGCTCCAGCCGTTTTTACGGGAGATCGTACACAGAACTGCTGGATGCATAATTAAATAACGCGATGCGCATCGTAACCAGAACAATTAACACCAAATCCCCTGGGGCTCCCTGTTCCTGCCGAAAATTCTGCCACCAAATATCCACAGAGACTGGCAAACTGCAAGGGAGTTCATATGTTTGCTTGCCAGCAACAACCATCTACCAATCATTAACAAATGCCTCAACAATGTACCTCGTCGCTGACTCGAATCCCAATCCTCTTCTCTGGGATCGCACTGTCACCTTGCTAGAATCTCACCCAGATCCCAAAGAACACGAGCAAACGCAGTGGAACAAATGCGAACGTTCGAAATAACAAAAAAAACCCACCTCGCACGAGACCCACACATGGCGCCTCCCGGCTTTGAGATACCTCGAGGGCACCGGCGGTGTAGCCATGAGCCAGAACATCAGCAGGCCAATGCACACATCTCCTTAATGAATGGCACATTAGTTAAAAACAAGCCACAGTGGTTTCGATTATGGCAATGCAACGCATGCTATGGACCGTGTCGTAAATCACTGTAGTCTGCACTCCTTCAACGGAGGGATATCAAAACCAGACGCACTCTCCCCTAAAACCCTCACGTGGCTAGCAGACCTCCACATTGGTATTTAACTCCGGAACATATTGCCAAGTGATACGGTTGGTGTGGGTTGGTGCATTGATGATTTCTGGCTCATCATCATATGCAGTAGCAGACATCATTACCTTCATTGTAACCATCATCTTCATTTATTCTCATAACAATCATTGGTATCATCACCATGCTCATCCTCACAATCATCACTGTTATCATCATCATTGTTTTGAAGTGGCGATATAATTTCTCGGTGGAGGGCAAAGCAACCCACACATTAGTGTGCACATTCTTATCAGGTTCACATATTTTTTATGGAGAGCTCTTGCCAATAACGTAATTTATTTCTAGTGATCTTCACAAGAAAAACCCCACTTTTGTTTACCAAGTGTGAAGGAACGTCTGCTTGGGCCTTTGGCCCAGATGGTTTCTCTAAAACATAGAGATCCGTCTCAGCATGGAACAGCAGGGACTGACGGGGTAAGAGTGGGGAGTAGGTTTCGGGAGAGAGTAGACGAGAGGGGAGTGGGTATAGGAAAAGAGAGGACGATAGGGGAGTGGGTATAGGGAGAGAGGGGACGAGTGGGGAGTGGGTATAGGGAGAGAGGGGAAGAGAGAGGGGACTGGGTATAGGGAGAGAGGGGACGATTGTGGGGAGTGGGTATAGGGAGAGAGGGGGAGAGAGGGGAGTGGGTATAGGGAGAGAGGGGGAGAGAGGGGAGTGGGTATAGGGAGAGAGGGGGAGAGAGAGGAGTGGGGATAGGGAGAGAGGGGGAGAGAGGGGAGTGGGTATAGGAAAAGAGAGGACGAGAGGGGAGTGGGTATAGGGAGAGAGGGGAAGAGAGAGGGGAGTGGGTATAGGGAGAGAGGGGAAGAGAGGGGAGTGGGTATAGGAAGAGAGGGGGAGAGAGGGGGAGCAGGGCATGCTTAGAGGAAGGGGAGATGGGGCCACATGAGTGTGGGAGGCCACGTGCGAGGCAGAGTCCACACTGAATCCTTCCACTCACAGGCGTCCTGATCTTTATTCGCATTCCACATCACAGCAAAAAAAAACCGCCCGCTCACAAACAAGATTCGGGACGGTACCCAAACTCTGTTTGCGCGGTGGTGCCACGGTTAGCGCACTTGCCCTACCAACCCCGGCGACCCGAGTTCGATTCTCGCTCATGTCCAATAACGGTGGCGAGTATCTGACCCGGTCCTGGGTCTCTTCTAGGTCGACTCAGCCTTAAATAAGCACTTGGTGCAGTCCGTAAACAAAGGTGGAGGAAAACGCGCCGTGCATAGGCGCTCTCTAACAGCACTTGTCCCCAGTCTCTAAAGGCTACACAAAGAGGGCCCTTGCCTGGCACGCGTAGCGGCGGAGGCGCGGCACTGAGTAATCGCTCCAGGCTGACCTGGCTTCAGGGAGGCCCGGCAACTAGGTTCAGATTCCAGTGGCCGGCGTGCCCGTGTTGTTGTTTGCGGACACGCGGTCGAACTCTGGACAACTACGAGGTGCCCAGACCACGACTCTGCCTCGCGCTGCCCATCTGCCCTGAACTCACAGACGCTCGCCAACAGCAGATGCCCGTACAGTGAATATAGTGCTGAAGGGAAGACCTTTGTCTCAATCGGCGTGTGAGTGTGTTGTGTTATTGTAACTCGAGCAAACGCATAGAGGTGCTCATTGGTCTAAGGCACTGCCCCCCCCCCCACCACCACTTTCCCCTTCACCCACCTCCCCCCCACCCTCGGCGGACTCGCTTTCCTCCCTTGAATGCGTCACTTTTAATATGAACCACATGGGCCGTGCCAAAAATCATGTCGACATGTTTTCGGTTCGCTTGAGCCAGGGGGCTCTTGGTAGGGGGGGGGGGTGTGGATTTTGCGAATGCGCGCATTGAAGAGTCTCACTCAGCGAGGAGGAATACGCGCACCTTGTAAACAGCGGCATTGGCTGTCGGGATCGAGGGTAACATTGGACGGAGCCAGCCTGCTAGTCGACATAGTTTGATATTTAAGGAGAAAAAACGTATTTCGTAAGCGCAGCCCGGTCTTGCTGGCATGCGAATGAACGCTGGAGGGTCCTTGTGGGATTTAAAAAAAAAAACGCGTGAAAAAAATCTTCGATGACATTTTTTTGACGGCATTGTTTTATCATGTCTTCCCCCCGCCCCCAAAATTAT